AGGCCAATAATAATAGTTGAGCGACCGTGCTAAAACTATGAAACCCGGAAATGCCTAACACCGTCTCCCGGGTTAACAGAATTCCTTACCCGGATTTCTGTGTTTGCAGACCATAAATAAGAGTCAAAACCTTCCTCGATTCGGGATTTTAAACCGGTGACTTGGGACATCATAAATTATCCCAAGTGGCAACTCTGAATTTGAATAATTAATCCCGTTTCGGTTATTGTCACTTTAATTGGAAAAACTCCTTTATATCCCTTTCCGGGGTAGAAATAGGAGGTGTGACACTACTCCAGCTCTTCGACCGTTGATTTGGTAATGTCAGAATCATTGGGGACTATAAAGTATCGGGGAACCCCGTAATCATCGCCTTCGTCGGTCCCCTTCTTGCCTGGTTGGGTCGAGGCCGGCATCAGTGATTGCTATTTGTCCTATTGTTTTGCTTCCGAACTTGGTTTCTTTGACGATGAGAGTGTTGATATCAGAATTACTTCATCGACTGCAAACATCTCCTTTGCTGCTGGTTGTTCTCCGTAGATCGTCTTAATCCCTCCCGGCGTTAGGAATTTCAATACTTGGTGAAGAGTCGAGGGCACCGCCCTCATGTTGTGGATCCATGGCCTCCCGAACAGGGCGTTTTATCTCATGTCACCTTCGATCACATAAAATTTGGCTTCCTGGATGGTTCTGGCGGCATTGACTGCTAATGTTATTTCCCCTTTAGTGGTTTTACATGCCATGTTGAATCCGTTCAGAACTCGGACTGCGGGTACGATTTGATCTAGTAGACCGAACTGTTCTACGACTCTCGATCGGATGATGTTGGCCGAGCTACTTGGATCAATTAACACATGATTAACTCGGGATTTATTTATGAGTACAGATATTACCAGAGCATCATTGTGAGGTTGCACGATCCCCTCTGCATCCTCGTCAATGAAAGACAATATTTTTCCGGTATGTAATCTCGAGTTCGTTTTTCCCTTGTGATGCACACTTTGGTGGGTTTCACCATTGGCCCATGAGGGACATCGACTCCATTGATGATCATGTTGATAACGTGTTGAGGTTCCTCCAGTTCGGTCTGTTTGTTAGAATCCCTGTTTCTTAACTGATTCTTGGCTCAGTCGCTCAGAAATTCTCGAAGATGCCCGTTGTCGAATAACCGGGCTACTTCCTCTCTCAACTGTCGTCAATCCTCCGTTCTGTGGCCATGAGTGCCATGATATTTGCACATCTGGTTGGGATCTCTTTGGGATGGATCGGATTGTAAAGGTCGAGGTCATTTGGTGTCTTTGATGCATCTTATAACCAATACGATGGCAACCATATCAATATTTGAGTTATATTCCGATAATCGTGGTGCTTCTTTGGATCTGAGAGGACTGTCAAAGTCGTTCTTGATCATCAGTCCTCGAGAGCTCTGACCCCGATCAGTTCTCCTTTCATTTCTCATAGAACTTCGCCCGGGCCCACTACTTCTACGGTCTCCATTATATGGCTGGTACCGATCTTTGTTTGACCTCGGCTCACGGTCAATATCTCTCTTAATTCTATCGACGGGTCTGACGAGATAAATGGACCCGGAAGAAGCCCCAAGTTGATCGTCTTTGACTCTGATCTTTGATTGATACCGGTTATGCACATCAGACCAAGTGACAGTCGGGTACTCTATCAGGTTCTGCTTCAACTGCTGTGAAGCCACCGAGCTTCAAACATTGAGTCCTCGAGTGAAAGCTTGAACAACCCAATCATCGGCGACCGTCGGTAGGTCCATCCATTCCATTTGGAATCAAGATACGAATTCTCTGAGCATTTCATTGTCCTTCTGCCTTACTTTGAAAAGGTCTGACTTCCTGGTTTCGACCTAGATGGCCCCAGCGTGTGCCTTCACGAAAGAATCTGCAAGCATAGCAAATGAGTCAATAAAATTAGGTGGTAAATTGTGATACCATATCATAGCTCCCTTTGACAGAGTCTCTCCGAATTTCTTCAGTAAGACAGATTCGATCTCATCATTCTTTTAATCATTCCCATTGATGGAAAACATGTAAGAGGTAACATGCTCGTTCGGGTCGGGCGCCCTATTGTATTTAGGAATCTCGGGCATGCAGAACTTCTTAGGGATCGGCTTAGGAGCCGCGCTCGGAGGAAAAGGTTTCTGCACGAACTTTTTGGAATTCAGGCCTTTCAATATCGGTGGTGCTCTTGGGATTTGATCGGCCCTGGAATTGTAGGTTTCCACATTCTTGTCGTTTTCCTCGATCTTCTTTTCTCCAGACTCAATTCATTTTGTCAGTTCCTCGGCATCTTTATGATTACCGAATTGGTTCCCGATTCCTTCTCATTCGATCTCCTTAAGGCCGATTCAACTATGTGGACAACTTCCTGGGATGGCTCGGGCTCAATTCTACTTGGTGGGCGACTCTGGTTCTGGAGTTGGGCTATCCCCGCCTGTTGAGCCTGTAACATTTCGAAGATCACCCGCAAGTTGATTCCGCCATCTTTGCCACCATGTGTACTTTGAGCGGCTGATCGAACATTCCTACGGACGCTGTCCTCAGGATCAATGGGCAAATTTGCATTGATAGTTACATGTGAGCTTACGTCGATTGGATCTAGTGTAAAAGTCTTTGTAATCGTACTATTGCAAAGTGGCTTGTGGTTATAGCACCACAAGTTAGAAAAAGCCTTTGTAACTAGGATAGTCACAAAGTGGCTTGTGGTAAAGGTGCCACAAGTTAGTTTGAAGTCTTTACAATCGGAAGCATTGTAAAGTGGCTTGTAATAGGTAAGATTACAAGTTAGTGAAGTTAAAAGGCTACAGGGTAGGTCGTGGTTTTTTGATCCCCTTGTGCGGGATTTTTCCACGTAAAAATCATCTGCCTCATTTACTTACTGCCTTACTAAGTGCTCTCAGCAGAAACTTGTAGAGGACCAGGTACTCTACGATTTGGCGGACCCATACAAGCTAACAATACGTGATCTAACTTGATACAAATTGAGAAAACAGATTAACATTGAAATCAATGACAGAAAAGTAAATGCAAACCACACAAGTTGAATAGTTTTAGCCTTGAAGGTCGGTCACCCTCGAGTCAAAAGGTGCATGTCGGAACAGAATGATAAGATAATAAGAACTAGAAATAATAGTGTATTTCTTTGGGATGCGTGTTACAATGTCCATTACAAATAATCAGACTCCCTTTATATAGTAGGGGAGTCCTACTTTAGATAAAATTCTATAAAAGGTAAGAAATCTCATGATTTGCTAATTAATCGGTCTCCAATTGATACGTGCCGAGATTCTCGACGTGATATCCGACCGGTTGCGGATATTTTGGCTTTCCGTTATTTGGTTCGATAATGTTTCCTCGAGCTCATTTGGGTCGGTTCCGGAGTTATGGGCTCGAACATTTTGAAGACGTACGTTCCACCTTCGTGCTTTGGCTCGATGGAACCCGGACCGATCTTCAGTCTTCAGTCCCGATCCGTCATGCAATAATTCAGACCCGATCCGTCATGCAATAAATGAGCCCGGTTTCAATCATATACAGAGAAAAAGGAAAATAAACAAATATGCTCGAAATAAACAATATTTTTTTATCATTTGATTGACGGAGAACAAAGGAAAGAAATTTGTTCGACATTCTTTCACGTGAATAAAGTTTATGAACCAAGTTTGTTTGTTTATAAAAAAAAATATTCTGTACATGGCAAAAGAAGAGAAGGAACATTCTTTCCAACTTTTACTTCAATTCAGCTCTGTCTAGATTGTGCTGTCCGAAGCTGATCCTGAATCAACTTGACTTTTTCCAAGGCATATCAAATCAAATCAGCGCCTAACAACCTAGCCTCTCCCGGCTCAAACCAACCAACTGGAAAACGATACTACCTCCATATAGGGCCTCATAAGGGATCATCTGAATACTCGATTGGTCGCTGTTGTTGTAGGCCAACTCTGCAAGCGGTAGGAACTGATCCCATGAATCCCCGAAATTCATAACACAGGCGCGTAGCATATCCTCCAAGATTTGAATGGTGCGCTTGGACTGCCTGTCCGTCTGGGGTGAAATGTTGTACTCAACTCAACCCGTGCGCCTAGCTCACGCTGCATGGCTCTCTAGAAATGCAATGTGAACTACGTGCCTCGACCGGAGATAATGGACACCGACACACCATAGAGACGAACAACCCCACGGATATAGATCTGAGCCAGCTACTCTGAAGAATAGATAGTCAC